GATTATCTTCTTACAGTAGGCTTATGTCTCCAGACCTACATTCAGTGCGAGCTTATCCCTGCTTTTGCATCTTCTCTAGCCGAGTTTATTAATGCTAAGTCGGTCAAGTGGCCAAATAAGGCTTCTGAAGCGATAATTCCACTCACTATTGACGTAGAAGCTGCCTTTTTCCTTGTATTTCGCAACGCGCTCCGAAATTTAGAGCGGCTGAAGAGAAACCTAGTGAATACAGCCGTCAGAGCGTGTCATTAATATCGAAGAGTGATGAAAAATGAATGGACAGCTGAGGAAATTGAAGAATGTATCACCCGGTGATAAATCGGAGATATGTGAGAAAAATGAGCAGAAAGTTTAGGTCGTTTCAGTTATTTTCCTCCAAAAACATTTGGGCGCCGTTAGCACGTGAGATTTTACACGATGGAAACCAATGAAACCAAGTAATGCATTTGTTCGTTCTTGTATTAGCTAGAACATATCGTTTGATCAACATTTACAAAATGATATCATTTTTAGAAAGTATTAAGGCACAATGTTAGAGTATGTTGTATGCACAAGCATTCCCAAGCAAATAAATTTTTGCATTTGAGAACAAAGGATGCAATGGTCGGAGCACACGATTAGTGCGTGTTACCCTTCCACAGTATTATTTTTTACCATAAGCTTTTAATTCAGTTTTATATGATTTTACTGGTCGAATATAATCCTATTGAGAAATTTTTCTATCACACACTCGTACGAATTTTATTTTTAAATGCTCCTAATTGATTTCGAAAAACGAAACTTTCTACTTCATTCCTGGTAGATTCAAACACCAGAGAATATTCTGAATAGAAATGAAATATTCAAATTTCTAATTTTCCATTACGTGCATGCTCGTAAATATATATCTGTTTGTGAAAAAAGTGTTAGCATTCAATTTTCACTGATAAAATCTGGATCGATGCAACATTTCAATACGTACTACATAATTCAAACGAACTAATGGACTTACGAATTATTTTCAAACAACACAGCACTTCCAATTTGTCGTCATTTCTGGTCACTAGCTAATTCAACTTTTTTCCCCCACTTATCAACGAGGGATGATTCATCATCATTTAATACTCTACTTAATTGAGCGTGTTGATTCGGCTTCCGACCATGCACCATTTAATGACCTGAAATTCAATTCTGTTGATGTTCATATCATTTAAGTCGTGAATAAATAAATTCCGAAGAGAAGTTGTTGCTTATTCATGTTACCCGTTCAAGCTGAAAATTCCATTCACTTCGTGTAACTAAAAGACTTCATTCTCGAGGATACACATGATCGCCTCGAGTTACACTTATCTGGGCTTAAGTGAGTCAGGAATCGAAATTGTACTAAATCCAATGATATTCAACTTTCAATGATATTCAACTTTGATTGCTCCCTCCTCATTATTATTATTGACTATTATTGATTTGACTTTCAAGAGGTCAAGGGTTTTGTTCAGTGTTCTTAATTGATAACGGATGTGTTCAGGCGTAATTTCACGCAATATATTTTATATCGGCGAACAATTTTGAAACCTTAATTCAGATGCCAGCATATTATCGTATTAATCAATTGTACAGAGGATCTGATAAAAAAACAAAAACTCTCTATAGTTTTATTGATAATTTACATTCCAGATAACCTAACAACACACGAAGTGCACATCACATTATGTCGTCGCATTTAATTATACACATAAATACAGTAATGCTGAGTGTTCACATCTAATATTCACAGTGAGTAATTTCGTGATCCCTTGAATCCCGTAACCTAAAGAATAATATGTTTTATTATATTTTGAGTAAATATGTTCAAAAATTGCGTGCTTTCAATTCGATTAATTTGACTGAACACACACCATTCCATTTAGAAAATTCTTCATCGCCTACCCTATAATTATAAACCGAAAAGATAAACAATAATGAAAATAATTGGCCGCAAAAATCATGCTGTAAAAAATTTATATTAACCATATGATTAGTATAATCAAGAATATGGAATCTTGTGTTTGTGCGCAAAATCAACGACCAATAAATTGCAATTTCCATTTTAATTGACGTATCTTAAAAAATTATTTTTCGTATATTCTTTAGACTCATGACCAGCAACATAAATGCAACACAATGCTCAAGTATTCTAAAAAATATCTGTGTCAAATTTACACAACCTATCGAGTACCAGACGATCATATTTTTTGTTCAAATTCGCGTATTGCTCAATTCAAGAAGAAATTACAACAATAAGAAAATAATTCATGCTTACAAACGAATATTGAACAATGCTCGAAAATAAACTAGGCTAAAATTAATGCTGAATAGCATCAATTTGTAAACGATTAAATTTAATCAGAAGATTCCATATTATTTAACGTAAGCTTGAAGAGAAAAACTTAATTTGGAACTATAAAAGATTCTTCAATTCTGTCGTCATTATCAAATATTAAGGAAATTAATTTAATTGCAAAAAATTACACTGAAAAAAAATAATTCATTACCATAAGTAAAATTAAGCATCACAATTAAAATTTTCAGCTAAATTTTCGCACCTGTTAACCCAAAGGAACTTCGTTCGCTTATTATTATATTATTTCCCGAAAAAAAAGATGCATTTCATTCACTTTTCACAAATTTCATCCGACTGAAAAATAACATTTTAAAATTACCCGCAATTAATTCAGTAGAAGTTAGTGTGTATCATTCACTTGAAACTTATGGTGGTAATGGTTAACAAATATTTAACTTAGTAATGACTGAGTACCACGATGTGCCGGTTAAAATATTAAATGCAAATGACTACCAATATTATATTCATGTGTTGCACTCGGATGCCTAAAAATGCCATTTTCGTGATGTTTGTAATAACGATGTTATTAGCATTATCAGGACCATGTACAATGCATCGTGAACTTTTCCAACAGAGCCTTGAAATAGCTACGTTACCCAGCAAACATGAGTAGATTATTTTATGAATTAATGTTTCTCCTTAGTGAGGAATTTTAATTCATGTTGAAGTTAAAGGTGCACAAATTGAATGAAAGAATAAATAATAAAAATATGAAAAGTTCTCATATGAGTTTCTCTAAATTCATATCGAGCGTAATTTTTGGTTGATTTGGAGATCCAATTGAAGATTTTCTAATCAATATTCACATTATGATCAGAGTTAGAAAGAAATTATCTCTACGCAAGTACACCTTGTAAATGCAAGAATATTTTGCCTTAGTTCCTTATTTTTATATACAACAAATATTTCTTATTATGACCTCAATTTCATACATACGATTCACTACGTCTGACAATTTCAGCCAAGCATACTGCGGAATAATTAACGATACTGAAAGCCTCCCATTTGGCCTGCAAAATATGCCATAAAAGAAGTTTACGATCTGCTTTATTATATATGTTCATTTACTTTGCATGGATCTTTTGTTTTTCCCAGGTTTTTGTTGGTAAACATTTTATGAAACAAAACTGAAGATGGCGGGAAAAAGCACTTTAACGGCACGTGGGTTGGTTATATGTATTCTGATTAAATTACATAATTATCTAATATTGTGTATCACTTTTATAATTTTATAATAATGTTTAATAACGGCCCTCAATATAGTATGATCCGCTATTATGCACTCTTTTAATTTTAGAAGGAAATATAACAAGTGGAAGCGTAGTTTTCCCATTTCATACCTTACAGGGGCAGACTAAAGAAACCTCAAATGCCTCAATTTTTTTCTTTCCGATTTGATGAGTCGAAGTTTTGCTTCACCAAAACAACGATGAGGTAAAGAAACAAATGCCCTTATCTCAGTGGCCAATAAGGCAAGGCTTGGCACCTTGGCGCAGCAATCCAAGTTGTACGATCTTTTTACGATCACAGCCCAGCACGGAACGGGCGACCGACGCGTTAATCAAGCGAGGGAACGACGCAGGCTGTTTACCCTCAACTCCGAACACAGGCACGAATCTGCTCCAAGATTCTTCGACGTGAACGTTTAAATTACCTGTTTCCCAGCGAATTTTAATCGCGCCTGAGCTTTTTAAGCTAAAATTTGAATTAATTCGAATTAGTTAAAACAAATTGTAAGCCTCAACTTCAAACACAGGCAGGAATCTGGTCCAAGATTCCTCGACGTGAACGTTTAAATTAACTGTTTCCCAGCGAATTTAAATCGCGCCTAAGCCTTTTAAAATTAAATTTGAATTAATTCGAATTAGTTAAAACAAGTTGTAATCCTCAACTAAACACAGGAAGGAAGCGGCTCCGAAATTCCTAAACTTAACCCTTTAAATGAGCTATTTCCAGGAAATTTAAATCACAAATGTGTTCTTTTATTTAAATTTAAAATAATTCATGAAAATAATAATGACTCTCTGGAATATTTTCTTAATGCAAGCAGCGTCGGTGAGGGAATTGTGAGAATTACAGCGTCACTCGAAATAAGCTAATTTATTTGATTAATTAGAATAACAAAGTGTATTCTGAGAATTTTTCGGGCAATTTACAGGAGATTTTGGCAAATGCTTGTTCGTTCACTTCCTAGTTAATTACAGCTTGTAGCTCTTCAACTGATATTATTAGAGACTTAACCATTGTCAAAAATCGTTAGAAATAATGAAGAAATTCATAATTCCTTTCAATATTTCACGTTTGAGGAGGAAATTAGTTGACAGAGAAAGCAAAATGATAATGAGAATATTCCGATACAGTTCGTATATGTTAAAAATTAATAAAAAACAATTTTCCCAATTATGCAAAATGCTTATGAAGGTATTTTAATTTAATTAATATAAATAAAATATTAATTAATCAGACAAATACTGCGTTGAAAGCATGAAACAAAATGCACGGGTCGTTTTAGCCTGAAAAGAAAATAGTTTTACCGAACTCAACTGGGTCAGAATGACCCACACAAAGGACAAATGTGCATCACTATTTGGACTCACTCATTTTTCTTAGTGCGACTATATAAAGTCAAGTGTGTCAATAATTCATCTTGAACGCAAAAAATAAATTTGCAACATCGATAGTACGCGGAAAATCATACTTTCTACAATGTCACCCTGTCCATATCGGCAAAGTGTATCTATGGTTGCTTCATTATTTTAAGAAAGTATGTGAATTAACTGAATATTAAAAGCTGATTTTCAATAACCTGCTTGGTTATTTTAGTTCAGCCCACTGTAGCTACTATCGTCGAAATAATATTTACATAATACATTAAAATATTTACATAATTATACACGATTTATACCATACTTGTTCATGTTCTGTGAATTATATCATCTCTGACTGTTAGGATTCAACCCAAAACGCGTACCACAGTCGGCCAGAGCAGCAAGAATGGCAGTTATTCCCGCCGAGGCCATCATTACGAACACCGATGAGAACAATGAAGAAAATTTCGTGCTGTTCAGGATCGTGGCCACGCCAGTCTGCATGGCGGCCGGTTGTTCTCCTGTTGGAAATTTGAGTGCAAGATTACTGTAACTGAAATAATATAGACAAATTTCGATTTGTCTTACGTGAAATTGTAAATAATATTATAATATATATACATGTATAATTATAATATTCCCAATTTATATATAATTGAAATTGAATCTACATGTTCTATTTCATTACATTTTTCATGATCTTAGATGACGAAGCGAGATCGACTTCACCTTATCAATCTAAAGTAGATAAAAAAATATAAATATCAATAATTTCAATATTTATTTGCAAAATATTAACCATAACAAAATATGATTTATAATTTGTCACTTAATTTTGAAGCCTCAATAATAATTACATTGCTTCTGTTTAATATTGAACCATTCCGAGTTACCATTAATGTTCTAACATGTCATATGTTAAAATATAGGTTCATATTTTAGACTCATTAAACATTCTCACCGGTATGGATCAAACTGCTATCGAATTCAATATTTATTTTCAAGGTTTTTCAGTCTATCAATCGCAGCTTATGAGAACTAGCAAGCATGTTTCCGAAGAAACCGAATATTCTTCAATAGATTTGAAAAATCCCGAAATTTTTATCGGTTACCGAGAAATATAAATATTTTTATCAGCTGTCTAAATATATCCATAAATTTGTCAATTATCCAGAAATATCAATATTCATATCGCTTATCTAGAAATACTGATATATTTATCGATTATCAAGAACTATCGAAATATATATCGTTTATCGAGAAATATCAATATTTTTATAAATTATCTAGAAACGTTAATATATTTATCGATTATCACTATATGTCAATATTCTTTCATGATCGAGAAATAGAGAAACATATGATGATTTTCACTATTACCTTGCAGCACGACGTTGACGATGACAGACTTAGGGATAGCAGATGTAGGCCAGCACGTGTAGTTGCCGGAATGTGAGAGCTGCGCACCCTCGATGGTGAGCTGTGACACGGTGCGACCGCTGGCATCTTCTTTCGTGTAAATTTTCACTCTGCCATGATCTTCGTAGCTCAGAATTTCCGAGTCGTGGTACCAGAAAAGTAAACCTAAGAAGGACAATTATATTGGTTATTTTAAAATATTCTGGATAGATATGAATTTCTGCGTCGTGGTAACAGAAAAGCAATGGTGTTGAAAAAATTTTATAATATTTATTCTCAAATATTCGTCTGTATAAATACTAATTTTCAGAAGCGAGGTCCGGAACAGCAGACAAAAGAAATATGTCAAAAAGTTATATTATATATTTTATTAACATTCTGCAGGCTAAAAATTTCCTCGACAAAAGAAAAAAACTTCATACTTAAAGTATTCTAGGTAGGACCAAATGGGTCGGCATGGCTGTGTTCGAATTTACATCGAAGGGATTTTTCTCCTTTGTAGACAATAAAACAGTTTTTCAGCAGCGTTGAAAATTTTCAGGACTCGATGCGGTAATCATGAAATATTACGATATTGAATGATAGATACATTTTGCACTTTTTTGCTTGGAAATTGAAAAATTATATGAAAGTAATTAGAAGAATTTAAAAAAAACTCAATAACTAGTGGATTTGTGTGACTTTTGTGTGCAAAAATCATAGGACTTGAATATATGTGAAACTTTATAAATACAATTTTTTATATAACTACAAAAGTTTTAATGAGAAACTTGACAATTGCTGTAACATATTTTCCTCAGCACTACTGATGGCCGTACATGTTTTCTTTATCATACTTTTTTAACACTGTCTTTCCGTGAGCTTATATCTATTTGTTTATTCAAACGTAGAGAATTTATTTCAATTGAATAAACATCGAATATCAAATATTGACTTCAATGCATGTACGCAGTAACGCATTAATTAACTTAGTTGAAAATTCTGCCAGTAAACTCAGTGTGATTGTCAGATCTCGAATATTTCAGGGTTGAATATTACAAGGCGTGTCATTTAATATTAAATTGACTAGGATTGCGAAATACATGGATCTCATGTACTCGTAATTTCATAAACTTCACGTAACGTAAAATTTGAAATACGACAATCGAATAAAAAATTACGATTGATCTTGAAAATGGAACAGCCCTGTTATTTTTACAACGTTCTTGTTGTGTAAAGAATTTTGCTTGAAAATGTGTAAGGTTTACTGCTGGAGAAATAAATCAATCACTAACTTTATGTAATTTTGACCATTTTTCGCCAATGCACACTGATTTTCGTGATTTCCCAAACGCGTTTATAATAAACTCAAATCATTTTTGAACACGTGGACGAATCGACGATGAAATGAAGAGAGATATTGTCTTTGCGTCAAATTGAGGGCTTTGCTTGCAGAATAAAAGGAACCAGGCCGAGTCTTTGCACGCGATCATCGAACGTCATTTGCGACGACGCCTGTAATTAGTCGACCGCGGTCCCGAGCAAACATGTTGTTGCAAGCGAGACTAAAAACTACCAATGGAATAAGTCAAGTGAATTGATTACGTCGACCCATTAATGCTTATCAAAATCAATTACGTCATTAAAGTGATTCTTTTCGTCAACAATGACAAACATTTATCGGGTTATATTAAACTGATATTCATTTTAGCTTAATGGGTGCAGTATTTTTTTCTAGTTGACTGTGATTGACAAGAGGGATGGAAGGCACGACAGGAGAGGTCTGAAGCCAATATTGATCGCTGCTCTGGCACAGATTATTTAAAATTTCTATTCCTGGTTTTCTTGTTACGATGTTACGATATTCAAACAAATTGCGCAGTATAAAAACGGTCATCGAAGTAGATCATTTTACAGTCTTGCATCATTGCTTGAAGTTTATCATGCACGCCTCATACTCAATAATTGTTATTTTTATAATTAACGCATCGAAGCTCTGTAAAACACGTAAAGCACACGACGTTCATTACGGAATCTAAGAAAAGGAACACAAGAGACTTTATAATTTCAGTGACTCTTCGCCCAAATATATAAGTGCCGTCGTTATAATATTGGAAAATTGCTCATGGATTTCCTTAAAAGCATTCCGTTAGAATGTTAACTTATTGCATGTCATTTTTACTTGATCTGTTTGACGAAATAAAGAAATAGAAATGCCTTTTCATAGTCAATTTACAAATATTAGCATTACAATTTTAAAAATATATTAATTTATCTGAAATCTTTTAAAATTAGCTACCTGTTGAAACCAAACAAAATTATTACATAACTCCATCATATATTACACTCTATTGACGTCTTAGATAAACCAAACAACATTAAAAAGTGATAACTGAATGGTGTATCAAAGTTCATGATGAATTACTTAACCATGAAATATCATGGATTGATAATTCATAACAATGATTAATCTCAAACCAACATGGTGCGTGCCATGAATCCAAGGCACGCAGCGAGGCATGGTTGACTTCGATCGTTTAGTATTCCTGATTGATCGTCGATCAGACATCGTCAAATATTCCATCACGACGACGAGTAATTAGGTAGGCGATGATTATTTGAACACTCGATCTATTATACTAGTCATTGCGGTTGCATTAATAAGATCAAGATGGCGGCACGGATATCTTTAGAGAATTGGTATTGCAGGTTTATGCATTTATTTGTTATTAGCGCATTTTCTCATTAATTGAAAAAAAGCGCTATTGTGCTCGCCATGTCCGTCCGTCCGTCCGTCCGTCTGTCTGTCCGCCCGTCAGTCCGTGGCTTCACGTTTTCGTCGACGAGAAAGTGCGCTCTCTGTCACTCACTGCAGTGATTACTGAGTTTGATTTTTTTATTGCAGCGACTTACGGGCTAATATTTCATTTGCAAAAAATTACCAATAGTTCGTTTGAGTTTTTATGTATGATTAAATAAAATTCAGTCATTTGAATGCAATAATATTTATAATTTTTTAGGCGAGTTTTCTACTCAGTTCTTGTTACATTCTGTAGACTTTTATGTCCCCACCTTTCACCACCAACAATTAGAGATGAAAAGATCAATATACGATCAATGGCAGAGAACGAAACCAAACCACACAATTAAAAAAGTTATGTATTTAGTGAAGAATCATAACTGCACTGGACTATACGTGCATTCAATTTTTTTAAAGCAAGATAAATAAAGACCTATTCTGAGACAAACATAAGATCAAAATAAGTCAATCACCGTAAATATCTTCCCAAGAAATTTATTTTCATATATCACTATTTGAGAATTTACTTGGTAACCCAAAATATGAAGTATTCATTATTATAGCTATTTCATTCCCGTTATATATTTTTTCGAGTATCGCTATATGTTGTATATCTCTATTTCCTTTCAAATTAATGTAATATTTTTTAAACTTGGTACAAATATTATTTATCAGACGGTGTATTTAAACCCACGTATAAGGTAGTAAGCGTTCATCGCTCATTTTTCGTGCTCCAATAACAGCGGCGTGATACAATATGAAATGAAATCACAACAAATAAATAAACTTTTACCCGTCAGATCTCATAGTTTCCTGAATTATTCTGTAATCTGCATATTAATTGGAAATTGTGGACAGCTTTGTTCGCCTGCTATACATCGATAGGTAAATTACAGTGGAATTACGGTGTGACGTAAGTTAGGTGTCATGGATGTGTTTTGGATTTACAAAGTTGAGCTTATAACTTGTTGCTGGTGTTTCTTTTTTCGTCCAAAAGAAAAAAATATTTCTACCGTTCTCAAAATGCATGTTATGTAGTATTAGTGAACAGTCGAAAGCAAGGAATTCTCCTATTGTTTACTGTTATAATCCAAGTTAGGGTGATCAACAATATCGCGACCAAAAAATTGGGAAAAAACTTCCCCTCTACACCCGTCAACAGCTTATCAAAAGATCTATAAGCATAAACATGAGCGCCATCTAGTGAGGGGACGCAGGCATCAGCCAGTCCGCTGTTCGTGATCGCAATCATTAGTCTAAAATTGGTCCACTATTCAAGGAAGATTGAGTTTCTTCGTTAATCCTGCCTAAATATTCAAGTAAAAGATCGATTCTGTCAGATATCATGCTGTCAATTCAGTGAGAGAGAGGCCTGTAATCCATGAAAAGCGATGAGGTTAAGAGGGTCTGTAAATTACATTGAATTACAAAAACAACTAATTATCTCGAAACCTGTACCCGCTTTTTACTGAACGTTCGTTGTTTTACGCGTGTGATTGACCATACTTGATAACAGAAGCGATTGCATCATTTTGGGATTGAAGACATTGATAGAAGTCGCTGAATATATCGACTCTGCTTGTGCATGAATTTTACAAGAACTGGGATAAGTATAGGCCTTCGGAACTCGAGTGTGAATGGAAGGAATGACACTAAAATTTGAGTTTACAACGAAGGAAGATCAACTCTACTTGAGTTTATGGGAGGAATGGCAATTATAGCTTACGTTTGCATCTAAGGAATAGCAATTATAACTTGAGTTTGAATGGACGGAATGACAATTACAACTTGAGTTTGCATCTAAGGAATAGCAATTATAACTTGAGTTTGATTGGAAGGAATGGCAGTTTCAACTCCAGTTGCATCGAATGATCATGTTATACTACGTATAGCCGAAAAGAAAGACGGAATTTTCACTTACAGTCTTCAGTAATTCATATTATTTTCACGCGACAGAAACAAGTACATAAATATCATTTTTCCTAATTTTCTGATCACTAAGCAACAAATAAAAATACTGAAGAATAAAAGAACGAAACAACTCACCTTGCATGTCAGGTAAATTGACCGTGCAGGTCAAGTTGATTGTAGATCCCGCTTTAACGTATTCCGGCCCTTGAATGATGGCTTCTGATTCTGTAGAGATGTAATCATTGACGTTTAATTTAACGTTTTCCAGGAAAAGTTTTTGGCCCAACAAAGAGGTTATTTGGTGCTGAGTTTATTATTACCCAACACCGTATATCAAAATAAAATTGTAGTGTCAATAGAAGTATGTACTCATTGTGTTATTATTATGTTATACTATTATTTGAATGATACCTCTGTCAAATTATCCTAGTTTCAGTCAATTATTCAACGCGCTAATTTTGTTAATATCATGTAGTTGATTGACAATAAATATTATTTACTTCTGAGGGTCCGCTTTTCCCTCAATTCTCATACAATTGTGTACGGTATTTACATGTGGGAAAAATTTAGTCGTATACCCTACAATTACATTTAATTTACAAATTACAAGACCCTATATATGAATTCATATGTGCACTTCACGAAACCAACGGTTGGAACTAAAATTTCACTATAAACTTTTGTAATATGTAATTCATTCAACGAAAATTTGAATTCATCGAAACACGAAACTTGAAAATAAAATTTTCATGATATTTTAGCTTATTGAAAACTGCTTAATAACACTTATATCAGCAAGAAAGTATCTTGTGCTCATAACATAAAGATAATTAAGAGCATGGCACATTATTAATTTTTTATTACTCAATCAACTTAAACACGTGTAAAAAATTTCTAGTCTAAAACCTTATGATCCGCTCAGGTCACTAGTACCAATGGTTCGTTTTGGGACACCAACCCAAGGCCATGCTGTAAGCACCACCTTTTGTCGCCCACACGCAGTTATTGGATTTACTCACCGACAACATTAAGCTGGTATGCCATAGAAATCTTGGGTACGGTGTTCACTTGGCACTCGTAGATGCCTGAGTCGCGGAGTTGCGTAAATTTGATCTGTAGGGTCCAGTTCTCTGACTTATCGTCCGTGTGAATGACCTGTAAGCAAAGGAATAAAATATGGTATGCAAAGGAATATTTAACGATGGATTATCTTCATGCATAAGAACATAAATATATTATATTGGAATATTTAGCGATTGATTACCTTTGTGCAGAATGCATATAAGATATTATGAAATGTGAAATTTTGAGATCAAGGTTAAGTATAGTTTTATAAAAGTTAATTTCCAAGTATATGTTTGTCAAATAAGTCAAAACTAAATTAAATCATTATATGAAATCGTCATTACTAAATAAACGTCGGGGTATTTGAAATGTTAAGTTATTTTTGCTTGAACTAAACGTTTGACCTAACACAATGTAATGAAAAATTAATATAGCGGTATATTTCATAACGAGTATTCATAACGTATTTCATAAGGAGTATGAATGCGTAGGTGTACGCGCGTTCCCGTTCTGTTCAGTGTAAGTGTACTCGCAAGAGGGACTGCCTCTCTGATTACATCGTTGGCGCTCAGAATGTGAACGCGTTCAAGAACATGGAACATATGGGGGAGAACATATGGAGAAATATAAGTTCAGACTTGAAATGTCAGCACCATATCAAGCCCGGCGGAAGTCTAGTAGCTATTCCAAACTATCGCCAGTTTTGAGAAGTTCCGGTCAAAGGACCTGTTTTTAGATCTCCTGTGAACAAGTCGCGAAAAGTACAAGAATTGGCAGGCCTATTCTGCAAAGCGCAAAGCCGACATTTTTTCTCTGATATGATAGTAATGTTGAAAACAAATTGAATTTGAAATTATTTAAAATTATACACATAATCTAAGTTTTATATTTGGATAAGTGTTTTATAAATTATTGTTTTTTACTTAAAGTTTCCTATTAGGAGGAAACCAATAAAATTTCCTATGATTAGTTTAAATCATGTTCAACAAAATTTCGATATTATTTCTCCTCCAGCTTTTAATCATAATTGGGCTGCATCGACTCATTCATTTCACGAAATATTTACTCATTTTAATTTCTCATTCATTAAACCAAATATTTTTTCTCATCTATGAAAGTTCAGTAAAAAAAACTTTGAAACGAAGTATGTGTAACCCTTACTTAGCAATGGCTACTCGCTTTTTACATTCCAACATATAGTCAAATAGATGTGCGTAAAAAAATAAAATAGACATGAAACAATAAAATGTAATCATGGCATATAGGTACTTAAATCATAAGTCTCTTTAAATTGCAAGATCATCATGAATTCAAAGAATAAATAAAAAATTAAATTTTTAGTGCATATTCTAAATTATGAAAAAATGCACTATTGTACTCGTCATGTCCGTCTGTCTGTCCGTCTGTCTGTCCGTCCGTCCGTCCGTCCGTGACTTCACGTTTTCGTCGGCGAGAAAATGCGCTCTCTGTCACTCACTGCAGCAAGTACTGAGTTATATATATATATTATTTGCTTCTAGATTCTTGAAATACAAACGTAAATACGGAGTAGACCGAAGTGCTTTCTTTCAAAGAAAGAATATGAGCCTCTGAGAAGCTCCCTCGGTTGTGTCTATAGAAACTTTTCCCTTCACAAAAACAACCCAGATTTGCTATAGGCAGGAAGTTACTGCTCCTGACGTAAACCAAAACCGATAATCAACTTGAAGGGGACTTTGTTAGGAGTTCTCGAGGTAAAAGACTGGGAAACTGTTGATAACTTCCTGATCAAAGAAACCATTGCAAATCACACACAACTGACGGTTGCTACAGGAAATTATTAATTTATGATCTAATATCCTGAAGTTGTATTTTAATTAGCAATGAACACAATATCTGAAATTGAATCTGGAAATTAAAATGGGTGGCACTCCGCATCATGCAACGATGCCTGGAAGCAGGTATTATTTATAAAATAAATAGTTCATGACTTAAAGTTAGTTTTTACTTACTAAAATATTACGATTTGGGTGAAATAAACTTTACAGAGAATAATATTCACGAAGTTTTGATTAAAATCAAATGAGTGATGGAGCAAAACTAAACTCACCGTCGCAAAAAAGTGAAAACCCAAAATGAATATTCGAAAAATTTCCTTTTCTCAGATAATTGCAAATACTAAAGACAAGATTTGTATCGAGCAAATATATTTCACTACTAAGTAGTTTCTTCGTAAAATAGTTCAATATTTTAGTAGCGTATTTAAGATAAAAATTATACAAGTCGCTAATTATTATGTTCGGTGTAAGAATCTTACCGGTAGTGTTCACAATATTAATGATCCCCATGTTATGGGAAAGAACAACTCCAGATTTCTTCGAACATATTTTCCGTCATTAGTATTATTTTGACTTATGAATTACAGGCACTCAGTAGCAACAGACATCATTAGTTAGTTGCGATAATTATAAGTTAAGAAACATTCTCTGAGGAATTACGATTGATAGGATCAGATTCTTAATTGTGTTCTTGTTACGCTGGGATTTACTGAGGCAAGTTCTAATCTTCAATAATCAGATTGTAGCGGCGGAATGTTTTAGGTTCATGAATTTCTGGCAAGAAAAGCTTCAGTTTTTTTCCGAATTCCAATCAAGTGAGATTAAAATCAAATCCCGAGTTTTTCATAACGCTCATGAAAATGAGACGATACTATGTAAATATTTTGTATAGAAGAAAAAATAGTAATGAAATAAGCATATAACATGTTTATATGGCATTTATATATTAAACCTCCACCTTATCATTTAAATTTTCTTATTTACCTTTCCTTATTTTCACTACTAAAATATTCAAATAAATGCGTTTAGTTTCACGCTAATTCTCTGAATGTGATGGACGTGAATTTTACTTGATACAATTATCGCAAATTTAATTTTACTTGCATGTTATTCTATAGATGACAGGATATCTAAATGTGTAGACACAAAGCATTAATACGATCGTGATCAATAAACATGATAAATGTTCCATGCTTAAATTTTGTCATTGATTCCGAGTCCGTCAAAATACACCGAACCCCGTCCACTTCCACAAAGCCAGACAAATTGCAGGATTTAGAATGTCCACGAGCAAAAAAAAACGCACAGTTTCTTTTCTCGTGAACGGGTCCACAAGATAGGAGATCTCAGTGATGTGACGTGAGACTTGACTGCTGAACCAGCGACCCAAAATGTCGGTTTAACTTCAAAGCTAAAATTAGAGGTTTCCGCGAGTGCTGAAATTAAAGTTTCTGTTCAGAGAATAAATTTAACGGAGAATCCGGGAATCACTGGACACTTGTGGACGGGTTCCGCGTTTTAGAAAGTTAACACTATTTTAAGTGTAATGATTATTGTATTTTTATGGGAACGTATTTATTCGGTTATGAAACTTTTACAAAGTCAAATAGATAAGCAAAAAATGTAATGGCCATCTAATTATTCATTCAAAATTTTATTGTGTTGGGATCAATTTTAATTTTTAACTTAATACAGTCATAGATCTTTATTTCGGTTAAACAGTTCTAAGTTCAGAGAAAATAAATAAAGAACGACTTAATTTTTTTAATACTGATTTTGCTTGTAGGTTACTTATGCGCACAAAAACAATTATTTTTTATTTTTTATTTTTATCGGTAATAAACTTTACTAATAAGTACTACTTACTAATAAACTTAATAAACTGTACTTAAAAATCACAAGATGAATAGTTCGCGTATAGTATAACAAAATGTAATGAATTAAAAATATAAATCAACTACCAATAAGACATTTTTTTATTGTGCTAATTTCACTACGACCAGCTTCCACTTACTTTTATGGCGGCCATCGATCATGTAATGGCCTAAAATCTGAGCGGGACTTTAAGCGATACTTACCGCAATAAAGGTTATAATGGCAGCCTAGCTTTTTAATGTATTTTGTTATCAATAATGGCCGGTATGAAGTTGCTACCAGTGAAATCGATGTCAGATAATGGCATCCTAGCTTTTAAATGCATTTTGTTATCAATAATGGCCGCTATGAAGTTGCTACCAGTGAAATCCATGTCATAAAATAATATCCTGTCGTGGATCCTTGAAAATATTTCATTTGCTTCACTCTACTCATCATGTATATTATTTCATGTATAAGCTCTAACCATCAACTTTTCTGAGTATACTAGAGTAATTTTAACACAAATTAATTGATCCCAAAGCTTAATTAGAATTTATTTTAAACATTGAAAAGATTTACCAATAAGTGTACTTTTGAACTTCCCCGAAGATTACGATTTAACCCGAAGATTATGACTTACCCCGATGATTACGACTTATCCCTAGATTACGATATACCCAGAAGATCACGATTTATCCTAAAGATTACTACTTACCCCGAAGATTACGACTTACCCCGAGAGTTAAGAAATACCCTGAAGATTACAACTAACCACGGTGATTATGATTCACCCCGAAGATCAAGACTTACCCCCGAGTATTAAGACTTAACACGAAGAATACGACATCCTCCGAAGATTGCCATTTCCCCGAAGATTACGATTAACCCCAAAGATCACGACTTACCCTGAAGATCACGACTTACCCTGAAGATCACGACTTACCCCGAAGATTACGATTTACCACGAAGGTTATCCGATTTATCACGAAGATTAAGACGTACCCCGAAGATCACAATTTACCCCGAAGTTTAATACTTACACCGAAAATTAAGAATCATCATGAAGATTACGGCTAACCCCCAAGCTTACGATTTACCCCCAATTTACGATTTACCCCAAAGATTACTGCTTACCCCGAATCGTTCATCCGTGGCAAAGACAACACGCCCCGAACTCAGCACGTGCAAGTCCCGCTTCCTGATCCAAGACACTTGCTGTAAAAACAAACGATTTTCATTAAATTTAAATGTCAGGAGATTATTCATTCCTATTATTGATAAATTATAGCTCAGTCGAGAAAATTTCAACTTGAGGCTTTGTTACCATGCTGGAAAAGAAAACAATGCTGATAGTGCGCCCTGAAATTTGTTGTTATCGCCGAAATCTCCTGTTATTTTAATATATATATACACTCTTTCGCAAACAATCGACAATAACGAAAAAATCCCAATTTTCAGTTAAAGAGTTCGTGAGGACAACAGGAGCAGCCTAACAGCCAGGTAAAATTCCGAGAAATATCACGATTCAACATTTTTTTAATAAATTGAGTGCGACATTACCCACCAGATTGCCTAAAAACAGCCAAGTCCGCGGATAAAAAGGCCTATAATTAAAAAAATACTAGTAAATTTGTAGGTTCCGGTGAAAAAAAAAAATTTATTTTTTCGTACTTCTTAAAATTTAATGAGGTACGTATAGTCCTGCCAACAGATATTTTGGTCGACAGATGCAACTGACAAAACCTAATTCGCGGAATTTGTCCGGAAAAAAGACTCTGCAACATACCGGTGCGTCGTGCCACACTCAAAGTGTTCATTACTTAATGGTGTTATTGAAAGATATTATATTTGCACCTTACTATCGTGGGCAGAAAATATTAAGCGATAGCAACTAAAATCGTTTCGATCACTAAAGTTTTTTCCTAAACAACTATCTGCCGTCAAATAAAGTAATTAATGCGAAAATCAAATTTTTGAGAGACTGCTTGAGAAGCTTCATTGCCCTGCAAATGTTCCGTTCAATTAAAAAAAATATCAAATTATAGCCCTGAATTAAGACTCAATGAATTTTAATTTCTCTCAATGTATTAAGAGGAAAGCAGAAATAAGATATTTTTTAACATTATTTGAAGAATACGTCTTCATAAAAAAGGGATCTTTTCGACGACGATCAATAAGTCTCATGAAAATGTAACAATCATGTACTGTAAGTTCATATTATGATTATAATAATAAGGCCAAGTTATACGATAATAATGACATTTCGGATTGATTTGTGCGGGTCATTTAACATTCCAAATCTCTTCAGTATTTTTTCCATAATAGCTTTCTCTTCACGGCAGGAGAAATTGATATATTTCACATCATAGCTGGCTATTTTAAGTACATGATACACATTGCTTCTTTGCATAACATTTCTTTATATTGCCCTACGAACATGACGGTAGTTTATGACAATCATGAAATGATAACAAGATTGACATATCATCGTCTTGCACATCATTTTTATAGTAATATAATATAATATAACTATAATTAACGCATCCTAAGCAGATTAACGATCGCATACTTCGTAAAATATGCAACGCAGCCTTCATGGTCGCGGAGTATGCAAGTTACATCGAAGTTGCCATGGAGCCACGACTCTCATGTAACTTTCCAGATAAAATCTTTGTAATTATGCAATGTTGAGCCAACCTGACCATGAAGCTCTTTGGCTATCCTCCTGAGCTGTCTTGTTAGAGAAAAAAGAGCATCAATCCAAATGGAGAACAAATTGTTGCGTGCCTACGGAGATGGATTGCAAACTGATTGTTCAACAATTAACGTTAGAATTACATGGGAAGTCCTCTCTATTTCACTTCAGTGTTTTTGTTATTTCCATTTTTGGTACTCAAATTAATTTTCACCGACAAAAACATCATCCACATCTCAGTATATTAATAAAAATGTTTTTGTTCCAAATTCTCAAAAATCTTCTAATGAAAATCACCGGAGAAACTCAAATAAACTTCATGAATATTCTATATTTGGTCTAAATTTAATGATTAATGAGTCCTCATTCCAATAAAAAGTTAGGTTTAACTTCACAAATTCTTCAACCAATAAGAGCGTTCAGGGCGTTGGTCTGTTTTCGCACGAAGAGCCCGCTAAAATTTTACGGTAGCTCGGATCGTAAAATCATCGTTCAACCGAGCCCATAATTGATCTTTACGACGTGTTTAAATCCAGTGAGTTGTTGAATCCCAAGCATAACACGAAGTTGAGGTCGACTTCTTCCTCTCATATTTTGGTGCATCGAAATGTTTTCATTTTCGTTAATGGACCTCCTTTATACTTTGCAGCTAAACAATAATATCTGCTGTACATTAAGATATAAAACAAATCCTTTATTCCTTTATTCAATCGAGAAATAATCAGGAATCAAATTGAAGAGCGATTTACTTGTCTCATTATTTAAACCACTTAAAATTCCATTTCATCTTTAAAGTTTTTTGGGTATATTAATTGCTCCCGGTGCGAATATTGGGACCTAATAAGTTATTTACAATTAGTTATTAACTGTAGCAAATTACCGTGAAGGATACTTGAATCCTGCGTTGAAAAAGTTAGCCTAGTAAGTTTGAAAAAAAATCTGAAAAAATTCCACTTATATTTCCCAAAAAACGTAAGATAAATTTGTGGTCTATTGGACAGCAAACAATTAATTTTGAGCCGAACATCGTTCCAGGAAACTTCAGTTGCTTCTGCGCGTCTCAAATAACCTTAACGAGCGACGCTACCACCGAAACCTTCCCTACCGACAACACTGCGGTGAAGATAACAAAAAAGAAAAATTTCCTCGGAGAGAAAATTTTTATTCGTTTCCAAACTTCCCAAGCAGCAACCCAAGTAATGCTTCACCACTGAGAAAATATTTGTGCCCAGGTGCAGTAATTTTCCATTGTTTACTATAATATTTAATGTACTCATCATTATTTGACGATGACGTGAAAAGGAATTGCTGAAATTAATAATCGCGTCACTTAGTAATCGAGCATTGAACTAAACTGAGTAAGTGTTCTTTTCTACTTCATTTTTCACCACAGCAAACTTTAAATCGAACATAAGCTGTTGTTTGATTTCTATTTTACGGTGCTTCTGTGAATTATTATCCATGAAATTAACATGCCTATTTGTAAAAACAAACACAATTTATTACTTTATTATTCTAATTGTTTCATATTAATGTAGCTCGCAACATTTAAACAATCATTTATAAACTGTTCATTCTAACGAATTAATTTCAAACAAAATTATGCCGAGTGAAAAATTTCACGGCTCGAGCGCTGTGAAAAAACAACAACCACTCTTTTGTTTTTCTATGTGTGTTCGTCACCTTACGCATTAATTAAGTCACACATGGTTAATATTTCTTTAGTTATCTATAACTCCATAGTTAATCTTGGAATATTTCTCCAATTCTTGTTTTTCTTTGGATTTGTTTTAATTTCGAATAAATTTGTGCAGAATGTAAGTTTCTCCTAATTCATAATAGGTTTAACTTATTAAACTACCTTTTAATACTACTTTTTCTTAATGGGCTTCGTGAAACGTCAACATTTTTGTTAAATCGACAGTAAAAAATAAAATAAAACGTTTTGGTTATATGATTTACTTTTTCTTTTATTGGTCGAGGTATAAATGACGAATGAGAAAATAATGTAATTAAGATTCCTGAGTACCAAGGTGTTTGGAGGTATAATTACTTTTTTTTCGCTATGATCGTAAAACATTAACTATATTTTAAATGATTGACAAAAATTGTTCATATATATCATCAAACTTAAGTGACCATCCAAATAAAATCAAACAAGATGCGCATGCAATTCTGCACAATCATCGATCTAGCACAGAAATTCGCATGAATTCAATCCGAATTCCACAATATGCTTTCATTTTCACAATATTCTCATATATCCTCAATAATCTCTAACGTTCGCTCTCGCATTAATTCAACAGAAGAACTAACTACGCCATCTTCGCTCGGCTCCACAATACGACCTGAGCTGTGGTCTCCTCGGATAGTGGAACCTGAGTAAGACGGCGCTGATTCAGATTTCTTCATCCATTCAGCAGCAGATCCGCGTACAGTTTTTGTATATTCCGAGTCCACAGGAACCCTCCAACTAATATGTATTTTAAGATTTGCCTAATATAATAGATGACACCATATTTGATGAACACTTCTGTGGAACAGATATTGTCACCATTTATGCAGAGGACATCCATGCTTTAATAACTTAGCTGCTCAGTGAAATTTCCCTCCCAAGGAGCGCTGCGTTAGTTACAAGTGCTATTTGTTTTCCAATTACATGGCCAAAAGACAATTTTTCAATGATGAATGACCATTGAATTATATCACTGTTTATATATTTGTGAGAGATTTTTGTATCTTTCTTGAAGCATGGCGCTGTAAATATAGAGGCGGTCATCAGCAAACTTAACGAAATAGAAAAAAAAACGTTTCAATACGCGTATATTATTTTTCATTTTGAGCCCTGCCTCGAAATTTTATTCGTAGAGGACAAGTCTAAAGGTATTATTGAATGAAACAGCAGTTCGGGGTTTGAATCATCATTCTCTTATTTTAAATTTCGCATATTTATTTTTGTTCGCGAAATAAAGAACCATAATTTTACTAATTTATTGAAAGTAGTTACGAAGGAATTTCTTAATCAATATGGGTTTGAACGGGTCATCCTAAAACTAAACTAACTATTTTATGACCATTCATAACTCGAATCAGGATTGAAGGATTCAGAATAATGCGATTCTGAATAACGTGATTACCATATGTTAGGTATTATCATTCTATTACTATAGTGACAATGGAATGAGCTGCTAATAGTCTTTTCAAATAAGCAACTTCGTGGGAAAAAGGAACATTCAAAATGTAAATTTTCATCAAAAAATGACAACCTACTGCCGTAACTTGCATGCATTCTTCTAGAGAATATGCTGTTCTTAATTGAATATTATACTGAAATTACGATATGGCTGGACTTACAGCATATTCCGGTAATAATATTTCCTGTATTGCCTGTTCCGGCTATAATATTTCCTGTTCCGGTTATAATATTTCCTGTATTTTCTGTTCCGGTTATATAATATTATCTGTATTTCCAATAATGCACATAGAGTTGCGTGGAAACCTCACAGTACAGTGTACACAG